CTCTGTGATCATCTCAATTCTCTGTGATCATCTCAATTCTCTGTGATCATCTCAATTCTCTGTGATCATCTCAATTCTCTGTGATCATCTCATACTCTGGACCGAAAACAGAGAGAAAGAGGCGGGACGGAGAACCTAACTGTTCCGGCCTTCTTACAGGTTCGTCAATGGCAAGTCGAATGGCCATGTCGTTGGAAAAGGAAGACTTGGTTTCGGACAAGGTGGAGGGCAAGAGGGCAAGAGGGCAAGAGGTAGGGGGCTGCTCTTATAACCTGAGACAGAAACCAGTACTGCATACTGCATGTCCTTCTGCCAAATCTATATGGTTTCATCCTTGCCTTTTTAGCCTTCTTGGTCTTCGTTACCTTTCCACTCTTGATTCCCGTCTGACCCCTCTCCGCTCGAGGTTCTGGCCTTCCTGTCCTCCCCTTTCCTCTCCTTTCCTCTCCTTACCTTCACCCCGGCTTGCTCCTTTGACGGGTGTGGGAGTCCTTCACCTGTCCATTCGGCGCTGGCAGCACTTGACGGGACAAGTGCCGTCAACAGCACGCGACTTGGGGAGGTGGAGGACGGTGAGATCTTGCACGCAGAGAGCGGGGAGATCCTGTAGGGCCTCCCACATTTCATCTGGCTCCAGGGCCGGTACAGCCATCCTCTGGATGAGGCGACCTTGTTCCGGGATCAGTAGGCAGATGCATTGGATGAAACCGGTCTTCGACCTGCGACCTCCCTCTCTCGGGTTAGGATTTTCCAATCTCGGCGTTCTCGAACTTAGCGCTCCTAGTACTGGCGTAGTGAGAGCGTTGCACAGGGGTGTACCGTTCTACGAGGAGGACGAATCAGTAGATAGAGGTCGACGATCGGCTCATGTCAACACGACTGGCAGATCTGTCAAAGTCGCCAAACTCCTCGGCAGCTTGTGCTCACAACCGGTACCAACTCACAGTCAACGTCGTCCGCAAGTTCCAGCCGTATCGCGCGGATTGTCAAGCCAGGCAGGTAGCCAGCATTAATCTGCGTAGTCTTGAAGATTCTCTCGAAAGCACTTTGGGGCATGGCTCGTCGATAACGCTGCTGGTTTTCGTGTATTTGCGAAGAATAGGCCGCTGTAAAGCCGTGTCCATGAATTGAAGGACAAGCTCATCCTGACCCGCGGGGATTTCCTGCGATCGTACGTCCTCGAGAGTCTCGTATCTAAAGTGAGCGCCATCGGCGATGGCCAAATCGAGGAGAAAACCGGCGTTGTTGTAGAAAAGCCGTGAATGGTCCTTTACCGCGGCACTAAAGCTGAAAAGAGCGTCGTTATTAGCGCTCGAGGAAAGAATGAAGGAGGTGGAAAGGAATGACCTACACGATATTCTCAGGATCGCGATTGTTTTTCACCCACCGCTGGTCGAGTCTGTAGATGAGCCTCCACCTTCGGCCAGTCACACGCTGTATGACAACCGTAATGCCCTAATGAAGTCAGGTCAAGCATGCACGAAACGATAACTCACGGTCGTACCCTGTACTGGAGAGAAGAATGTGCCAAGCCGGGCGCCCGTGTAAGTCAAGGTGGTCTGGATGCGGTACCGCTCCGGGATAAAGATCAGGTCATCTTTGGTCCAAAGTGTGTTGAAAGAATGACCGAGATCACGGTCGCTGAATAGATGTTTCGCAGGGTGCTTATTCACCATAATGGTCTCCTCGGTCAATGTCCGACGAACCTACTGAGGAGACAAGTTAGCCCTCTATCCCGAAGAACGTGATCTACAAGGTTGAGTCAATCTTACGTTGAATACTTCACTTCGATCGTAGTTGTCCATCTCGTTCCGGTAACACGAGGGAAGCCGGCGAGGAACCTTTCCGCTGCCGCGTTGAGGGACTCGGCAGTCAGTTGATCTTCCTCATTGAGGAGCGCCGTACTTGAAGCGGCGTAGAAGCGACGAAAATCTTTGACAGTTGCGAGGTCGTGTGCAGGTACACCCGGCCCTAGGACTCGATGACGGACCGCCTCTTCATCGGGAGGGGAGAGACCTTTCTGGGCGTGTTCCTCTCGCATAGTGCCTAGATGCCATCTTGGTACGGGGCCGTCACCAGCTTTTCGTTGCCTTGCTCAACAGCCTTGTGCAGTGCAGTGAAGCATTTGGGCCCCTCACAATCTAGTTGTTGCCGGTTGTGCCGGAGGAGTAGTCTTGCCATGGACAATTGGGCATATGAGACAGCCAGAAACATTGGAGTACTCTGGCTGTAGTTCCTGGCGAAGAGGTTCGCGCGGTGCTACAGTAATAGCAGACCAGGGCGGAGGTCCGCAAGGGTTCTTACTGTGAAAGGGTTCTTTACAGGACATAGCATCAGAGGAAACCATCCCGATTGTTCATCGTCGACGGGACATGTTTGCCTCGGCCACACCTCGTCGGCAGCCCTGTGTGCTCCTCTCTAGTAGCCCTTTGCTCGGGCACGAGCCAGGAGCAGTTCGTCGCCGCGGCCTCCTGCTGGCGCAGCCCGGCCATGGCGGTGGTGGCAGCGACGAGGTCCCAGGAGACCGTCGTGACAGGGCCATGATGACGGTGGATGGCGGGACAGCTGCTCGAGGAGTGTCGCATTCTGGAGGAGGATGAGTGAGCGCGAAGGTGAGGGAGGGTGAGTGGTTATAAAAGCGGCACGATCGGGGTGAGTGGCACGTGAGCCCGGGCCAGTTTTAACCAAAGACGTCAACTGGCGAGTCGTGGCGATTGCACTTCGACACCTGCGATGCGGACGGGCGACGCCAATATGAAGCAGAAGATGTTCAGAAGCACAAGCCGCCATGGGTGAAACATTCCTACGAATAATAGCCTCTCTCTGAACCGACGACTCGTTATGTTGTTCATCCCCACCATGAGGCGCTATGCGCCCGGCTTCTGGCAGAAGACGAGTAAAGAACTTCAGCGAGCCACCAAGTTTGGTATGTGATCACACAGGAGCTGGATTCCAGAGGCCCATGATGAGCGGCAGAATTTCTAGAGACTGACACTGTGTCTCGCAGCTCTCAATCTGGAGGGCCTTCAACTCCCTACTGCTCCATACCCGATCTTCGATTTCGCCGACCCCGAAACCATCACATCGCTAAAGACCATGACCGACGAGTCGGTGGGCGGCTTCTCTACTGCAACTCTCACACAAAAGCCGGTTGATCCATCCTCACATCCCCCGACACCAGCGCATATACTGTTCCACGGCAACATCTCCACCAAGTTGCCTGCGAACCGACCAGACGTGCAAAGAACGGGCTACGCAGCGTGGCGAAACAAGGATCGAGGACGGTCGCTCTTCGGCGAGCTTTTCTGGGACGTCGACTCCTATATGTATCTGGCATTACGAGTGAAGAGCGACGGAAGGAAATACGTTGTGAACATACAGACAGATTCGATTGTGGAATCGGATCTTCACCAACACCGGTTGTATACCAAATATCACAATGGCGCAGAAGGACCAGAGGATCCAGGCCAATGGGAGACTGTCCGGATTAGATTGCACGAGTTCGTTCGAACAAACCACGGCATTGTCACTGAGCCGCAATCGGAAATGCTGCGTCGGAAGGTGAAGAGCGTTGGCATCGGGCTTCTTGACAGACAACCGGGCCCGTTTGCCCTCAGCATTGCTGCAGTGTGGGCCACGAATTTGAACGAACGGGGTCAAGTGGATGGTAGAACCGGCTGGGAGGAAGGTGACCAGGGGAGTGCGAGACTGAGCGAAGTGACGGAAGAGAAGCTAGCACAGAAGCTCGAGGAGAAGAGGAATTTGCCACAGGAGAAGAGACGGTTCAGAGAAAGAGTGCCGCATTTCGGTAAGGTCGGCACGAATGACAAATCGGCCGTCAGATGAACAAATATAGCGGTGAAGCAGCGAGGGAAGGGTCAGGTTCGGCGTTGGATTGAGGCTCGAGGCACAAAAATGATGTCCGAAAACTGTCTATCACTTCAATTCTTGTAGCGTCTGCTCCAATGTTTTACCCGTCAGAATCTTGAATGCCTCCAAGTATTTTGCGCGAGTGGCCTCGACCACATCCTGCGGCATCGTCACACCGTCCTTGCCCTTTAACCCATTCTGGGTCAACCAGTCTCGCAGAAATTGCTTGTCGAAACTATCCTGGCCTTGTCCAACCTGGTATTTCTCCTTGGACCAGAATCTCGAGCTGTCTGGAGTGAGGACTTCGTCGATAAGCACGACCTCATCGGTGACCTCATCCAAGCCAAATTCGAACTTGGTATCTGCGATGATCACCCCGTTCTCCTTCGCGTAGTCTCGTGCGGTCGTGTAGATTTTGAGCGACAATTCCTCGATGCGTTTTGCGTACTTGTCGCCGACAATCTGCGCAGCTTGCTCGGTGGAGATGTTCTCGTCGTGTTGTCCTAGTTCGGCTTTCGTGCTTGGAGTGTAGATTGGCTCAGGCAGCTCCTGTGACTCTTGTAGGCCCTGGGGCATCTTCTTCCCATTGACTTCGCCGGTCTTCTTGTACGAGGACCATGCTGACCCTGTGATGTAGCCCCTGACAATAGCTTCGACAGGGAAGACCTTGAGTTTGCGCACAAGCATGCTCCGGCCTTTGAGCCGCGGAACGAGGGTTTGGGGAACGGCGGGAGGCAGGTCGAGGGAAATGAAATGAGTCTTGAGGTCCGGAATGGATTTCTGTAGATATCGAAACCAGTGCGCCGTGATGAGGGTGAGAATGAGCCCTTTGTCCGGGATCCCCTACACGACAGACATTAATTAGGGATCCATGGGGAGTGGGAGTGGTTGGAGGAGAGCGAGACGAACATTCTGCATGATCACATCATAGGCTGATATCCTGTCGGTAGCAACAAAGAGGAGGGTTTTCGAGTCAACATCATACAGTTCTCGCACCTTGCCTGAGGCTACCAGAGGCAGTACCTCACCAAGATCGGCCTTGACTAATGCCATGGTGTGGGTGACATTATGAAGGCACCTGTAGCACGCCGGGATCAACGCAGAAAAATATAGCCATAGCGTCATAGTCACGGCACGGGCGCCTTACCGAAATAGGACTAGTCGAGATTAGAGCGGAGGCGGACCCTAACCCTAACCCTAAGTATTCACTATAACGTCCTTTATAGAAAGAAGACGCCTACCCTGTCTAATAGCACCATTAGCTGAACATAGGCCTAGAGGGATCCCTAGTAAAGAGAGGTGAGTTGATTCACTATAACAACGCGGTGCCTACTATAGACAAAGAAGGGAAAATCAAACTGGTGAATGTTGGCCATAGTGGCCGCCTGGTGTATTTTATGGCGCGAAAAACAGGCTGCGAAAGGCGACATCGCAAGTCACTCGTTGTGACGCGGGCGAACGCCAAGTATTTAGGGTTCCGCCCTTGTGACTCCGCTCACCTTACTTCCGCTTTCCGCTCGCCTCACTTTCCTTATCACCCATTTCCGCCCGTTTGCTTTGTTAGCTGAACCGGCCATTCTTTTCTATTTAAGTGTGCTGCTGTGGCTATACAAAGGTATGTATAGCTTTCTATGGGCTCTAAAGCTGCTTCTAGATGAATTCTGACTTGCAAAACACCCTAGAACAGTCAATTTGAGCCTCCACAATGTCCTCTCGCCTCGCTTCCTCCAGCAAATCGCCTCCTAGACGGGTCATCATGCCAGCATTGCCGTTGCTGCCCAAGTTGACGCGTGCTGCTGCTTCTACACCACCAGAAACCTCCTCAACGGCCGAGATCGAGAGCGTTTCTGAGGCTGTAGGCGATCTAGAGATCGCAAACGACGCTGGAAACGCCCAGATCGACCCTGGTAAGTGCTTATAGACCATCCAAACGTATACAATACCACCGGAAAGGCTTGTATTGATCGTTTTCCATCACAAACCGTGTATTCTCTGGCAAAACACGCCTCTACAACGCCGCTTTGAACGGTATTTCCAGCTTTATACTTGATTACTGACCGTATTCCTGTGTATAGATGCGAGCAAAGCTTCTCCTCCTGCCCTTGCTGCTGTCAAAACCCCTACCAACGTCGTGGAATCTGCGAAGTTGGAGCCGGCCAAGGAAGACGACGTTTTTGGCGCCTCTACAACTGCTGAGCCTCACGAAGAGGTTGTTCCTGTTGCCCCTGCCCCTCTTGCTCTTGCTCCTCGCGTTGAGGGCACCGTTCGCAGTCAGCTGGCCTACAACGGCTTCGCCCCGAGACCAGATCGAGTCTCGCAGCTCCCGAATGCTATCAACGCCCAGGGGTTGTATCCCCCTGATGCTCTGATCTTTGTAGCCAAGTACGTCTGGAGAATACTACGGAAGCCTGTCATACTGATACGATACAGCCTCTCAAACCAACGCTCTGGGGAGCAGCTAGAGCTCGCTTGTCATCAAGCCTTCGATAGGTATGGTCGCTGCCATATCAAGGTGCGCCTGGACAAGAACCGTCATCCTTTTGCGTTTGTGCAGTTCGAGGTATGTATACCACGAAATATACGGCTTTACCCTTCTAATTGTGGGCCTAGCGTGTCGACGATGCGAATGTTGCAGTCAATGCTGCCTCCGACATGATGATAGATGGCCGTAGGATCCGCATTGAGCGTGCCAAAGCCGAACGTAAGCTCAACTCGCTTCATTTTTCTCTACTGTATACTAACAAGCGATCAGGAGCTGTCATTTTGAGCAGGCAAGATGGCGCAATGCCTACAGAGGCCGAGGCTCGCCAATTGCTTGGGAAATATGGTCCGATTGAGATGTGTGTCAATACCAACACTGTCGATCGTGCCCGATACAACATGGCTCCAGGAATGTACATCAAGTTCGCATACTACCTGGATTGCCGTGATGCGCTTCGTGTGAGTCTCCAGCCCCTTGTAATGCATAAATTGGCTTGTCTGACGGAGGAAACAGTGTTTCAACAACCATGCAGGGGGCTATAACCTGTACATGGCACCCTGTGTGGAGCCACGGATGAGAACTGGTCCAACAGGGTCCCCTGTTGTTCGTGGCTTCTCTACTCCTCGTTCTGCTGTCGACCAGAAGTCCATCTACGTTGGCAATCTGCCAGAGGGCACGACTCGTCAAGAACTGGAGGAGTTGTTCAAGGACTACGGCAGCATCATCCAGGTCAATGTGATCAAGAAGAGCTTCGGTAAGACCCCTTATACGATGAACACATCATTTTCCAGGCTGTCCTAACCTATATTAGCCGAGGAGAGTATCAATATCTTTGCCTTTGTCGAGTTCAGCAACCCCCGAGAGGCTGATCACGCGTCCCATGCAGAAGTAAGTCGACGAGTGCTGGTGAAACAAGAGCAGGCAACGGCTAACCATTAAACAGCGTTCCTTGCGGGGAATCAAGCTTCGAATCGAGCCCAAGGAGTATTCAGCTCGCCGTCCTCAGCGCACAGGATACTACTTCCCAGGCACTCCAGTTCGACAGAATACTCCAGGGAACTACATAGACGCCGGCTTTTCTGGACAGCCTATGAACTACAACAATCCAGACATGTACGCCATGCAGCAGATGACGACCCCTCCTGGCGGATACAACCAGGGTTACCCGATGCCGACATTCACCCCTCTCCCTGGCGGGCCGTTCTCAACCCCGCCGAGTCATTCTGGGATGGGCAACATGCTTCCAATCGGCATGTTTCCCCCCTCGCCAGCTCATAACATGAATCCGTACGGCCAGGGACCTGTCAATCAGTACAATTCTCCGCTGTTCGGTGGCCACGGCCACATGATGGGTCCGATTCCAGAGCACGGAGAGGAAGAATACTAGGCAGATGACGGCGTTCAGGAGTAGAAACGGCGTTCAGGGGCAGAGAAAACATGCTTATGGATGATGGCAATTGCTTTGGCTGGGGTGGGCGCTGGCAAATGGAGCTGTGCAAGCAGAGATGGACAGTGCTGCATACAAAAGTTTGCTATGGACGAATCAATCTTGCTGGGAATGTACAAAAGAAACGGGGCTTGGAGAACATGATGAAGCATGCTGATGCTCGGCATGGATGGCTACATATGGCTGCGCTGACTGAGCTATGGGCACAAACCCTGAGCTATGGAACATGCAATGAGAGATGAGCTAGAGACTGGAAATCATGGCTGAGCCGGGCTGATATCAACATAGAAATCATTGGCTGGAATGTGAATTCTCAAATGCTAGCTACAGTTCGAAGAAACGGAGACTGCTGTTTCAATGTGTTTCGTGGCATGGGCAGCGTTGCTGCATAGGGCTTCGTTCTCCAGGACCTTCAGGCTCGTTGAATGGCAGAGACCAGACGTAAAAATACAACCGGCATTACCAACTCGAAGAAGACAACTCGAAGAAGACAACTCGAAGAAGACAACTCGAAGAAGACAACTCGAAGAAGACAAC